AACTCTTGGCGGCAGGATGATATCTTCTTCCTTGGGGACGCTTTCCTTCAGGTGAGCGGAGGCTTCGCTCTGCTACTGCGCCTAAAGGTTTTCTGAGACGCTGGTCACCGCAGCACCTTTCGCTGTTTGGGTACAGCATAATACATCCCAGGGCATACAGCCATACAGCTTATGCCACAGGAAAGGATCCGTCCACCCCAGGCAAAATTTACCTGTTACTATACGTCCTGCGCAGGCATTGAGCCGGTTATTTTTTCCCCAGGGGAATGTAGAATGGCTGTTCCCTTGAAGTAAGGGGCTGAGGTATGTGACTGAGTTTCTAGCAGTGGCTGAAATATTTTCTATGGGCTTTTGAGAAGAATGGTGGGGAAGTGTTTACCAAGCCCTCCACACATGCAGCTGAAGAAAAAGTTTATCATTTTTCACCGGGGCAACTGACTTCTCAGTGGCCCGTGGATGATTCGCCAAATCCTGCAGAAGGCTCCTGATCCTGGGAGTTAGATAGAAAAGCACTCATCACGCGAGCAGAGAACGACGACATGCCCCATAGGTGATTTCAAGAAAATTAACTTTATGATTCAGGAACTTGGTAAATACTGGGCCATTTCCTTATTTCTAATTGCCCTCAGCAACACTAAAGAGGATTCTCATCTCCACCTTAACAACAAGGGCCCAACTGTCTTCCCCTCCTACCTGTGGATAGCAGCTTTTCCAAAGGCAGAGGGAGCAGCGTTATTCCTAAATACAAAATCTGGCCTAAGCAATGCAGTTGGCAACTCCAAAGATATTAGACAGACACGGAGCTTGAGCAAATCTAGACTTTGCAGCCTTCCCTTTGCAGAGGGCAGGAATTTGCACAGATTGCACATTCTTTCTCATGAGCCCTGCCCCAGCTTCCTTCATTTTTCTTTTGAAGAAGACACTCTCCCTCATAGGATAGGCAAGTAAAATTAATACCACTGGTAGCAAAAACCAAACCAGTTGTGCAAAAACTCCAGCTACCAGAGCATAGGTCCAAATAGTCAGAGGTAAAGGAGGGAAGGGGAGGCATTTCTGATGGGCAGGCAGAGCGGCATTTAGTCCGTTTAAACAGCAGGATGGCTGGGGGGAGCGGGGTGCCGGTCTGTCCCTGCCTTTTATTGTAGAGAGTGCTGCGAAAGGCCACGTGCAGCACAGCTCTGATAACAAACTCGAAGGGACATGGGAAAAATCTGTTTCAACAACAGTTTGTATCAAAAGCAAATTACGAAAGACCTAAATTGTCACTTATTAGTTTGCGCTAATCAGTATTCCACAGTAAGAGCATTGGTATTATGAGAGTTTGCTATGTGATTTACGAGCCCAAGCCCAGTTATCACCTATGGCCTCTGCTGCAATCTCCCACCCTGTCTACATTTTTGCCTTTCACTGGCATGTTGTTTTCTGCCTCCTGAGAGCATCATCCTCAGTGAGCATCCTGTACCTGACTGGTACTAGCTTGCATCGTAAGTAGAACTGTCAGCTGGATTTTTCCAAGTAGTACCAGGGCATTAGCTAAATATCCATGACTAGTTTAAATGCCACTCAGAAAACCTCTGTTTTTAAACTCAAAATAAGGACCTAATGGTCCTACCTCACTGTTCACCTGTTGCCCCAGTGTGCCCTGTAAACCTGGTTTCATACTAAATCAGTTGCAGCAATTTTTCGGCAGCTGTATCTTCAGCAGCCCAGCATAGCAGGTCCCTTCTGCAGACGTTATCCATATGACATCATGACACTGCAGACATGAATGAAAGCAGAACTTGTGAAAATATAAGTCATCCCACGCACTAGCCCCATGAAACCCCACCTCTTTCCCCCCAGATGCTGCTACCTACAAATTAATGTTAAGACCCACTGAACTCACTCCATAATAAAGAAACTTCACCACCTGTTTGGGCAGAGGATGCCTCCACATCTTTTCAACACAATTTCCAACAGCAGTCCCACCAGGGGCATGTAACTGCAGGTCCCACTGGAGTGCAGCCCAACAAAGCAGGTTTCATGACATCTTTATCAATCTTCTGCTGCTCCATCCCCTGCACAGGTAACAGCTGGTTGCACCAGGCAGAGATTTTTCTTCACTGAGGATTCAAGAGCAGCTACTGTCGTGCTTTCCCCATGTGCCATTTATGGAACATTAAGCTTTTGTAGGGGTTTGGTTATCTCTCCTTCACTAACTCCTTCCTCTGTGAGACATCTGTGGCCAAAAAAAGTAGAGTTCGCCATCAGACAACACAAAATGGCTTTTCTGAGCCACATTACCTCTCGTTCCTGCTACCTTTATCACAAATCAAGTCTTACAATATTTTCTCTGAAACTGAAGGCAAGGGCTATTAATTCAAGATAAAAGTGTACCATACATCAGCCTTCACTGATTTTCTGTCTGCCTGAAGGTTAATAGCAACAGCAACTGTATTACACTATATAGTAATGAAAAAAAAGAAACATTACACATTCCAGTTTAAACGTAAAGGAAACTGGAATCAATGAAAAAGGTTAACAAGCCTCACTTTGCTTCTTTGTGACTGCACAAAAATGTCCGGATCAGTCTCCCCAGATTGTATTTCACAGTCTTGCCATACAAGTCCTCACCCTCCTTTTCTTTTTAATCTCAGAGGTAATAGGGTCACTATTTTCTAGTGTGCTTGATGGTTATGATCTTTGGCAGTCTCACACATCTTAAGAGCATATTCCTTCAGTTAAGGACTCAAGTCCTTAAAAAAATCTTTGTTAATTAAGAGGTGAAAAAGCCCAGTCCACTATATATTAGAAAGGAATACCTTAAATAACTCCGAAAACTCAAACATGAAACCAGATCAAGAATTCCCAATTCAGTGAGTCCAATTTAATTTCCTTTTCTGCCAATATTCTGAAACAACTGTTTAAGTTTTTCAAAGCAGACTAAAGTTGAGTCAATTATTCCAGCTCCCTCTGAAATGAACAGTTTTGTGGCTGAAGTTGGCTACAGTTGGCTGGAAATCTTAATTACTTGTTTGCCCATTAGGCACAGCCTTTCAAAGCAAACAAGATCTGACTTTGTAATTACAGGTATGTTACTTGAGAGATTTTCAGAAAACCAAGACAGATGTGGAAGAAGCAACAAGAAACTGGTTTCTTTGCAGGTAACTTTGAAAGGTTTTCTTTGTTTTAAAGCATTAAAACATTCTGAAATACACAGTAAAGTCTCCCAAAGACCTTACTCTGCTCCCAGAGCAATGCTTTGAGGACTGGGAGAAAGTCAGGTTTATTTTACCATAACCTTAAAATAAACAAGCTTGTTTTTCCTGACTTCCATTTGTGTAGCTGAGGAGTCTCATTGCTTTCACAAGTAATAGAACAGTAAATCTCTGACTTGTCTATGAGGCATTCATATTCTGCTGCTCGGTGACCATGGATCCCTGATTACACAAGCGTCCTCAGCCAAGTAGGCAGCAGTTCCTCCTAGCTAACACCTATGTGCATGGCTCTGAAGTCATACAAGTGGGAGAAAATGGTGCTGAAAGGCAACCTGTCGACACAAAAGCAGTAAACCCGAAGACCTGTGATTTATATTCATGTGTAACTGTAACCTGCAAATTTATTTTTGTCTTCTTTAAGATAAGGATGAAAAGGTGTGAGGTGAAGTCTCAAACGCAAAGGTCCACCTAGTCAAACATGTTGTCTCTAGCAAGCAGTCAGTAAGCTGTTTGTAGGAGGAATAGAACACACACAGGTACATGCTCTGAGTCTCCTAAAGGTGTTGCAGAAGAACATTAAGTGCAAGAGGGCAGTAGGGAAGAGGGGAAAAAAAATATTTCTTTTGGAGTATTCACATCCGTGATGTGCAGCTGTCCTAAAAAAGCTTGCGAACAACTGACAAGCAGGTAGGGCAGAGTTCCCGAGGCCCCACGCGGATGTGCAATGGGTACCCTCAGCATTGCAACATAACCACTCCAAATCTAAGGAAGAGAAACCACAAGACGAAAGGCGGAGTTGAACGTTCCCCTGGAATTTCACATCTAACATGGTGAAAACCCCATTTATTCCCATATTGCTCTGGTACAACACAGTGGCCATGGAGTTCATCTCTCAGCACTATCAAACAAAGGTACCCTTTGAGTGTATTTCCCCGAAACACAGTCTGGTACAAATGGATATAGTTTCTTTTCTCTGTAGAAGTTCTCCAAAGTGAAATAAGATCAGAGACACTGCTGAAGTCTCACCAGGTTCAATACACACTTGGCATTCAATTTTCTGACAATGAGAATCCCCATCAAATTCCTTCTGCCGCCCCCATCCAGAAGGACTCACCCTTTCTCACCTGAACATCACCTCCTTATGAGCTGCTTTACTGATACATGAAAGCAGGTGCTATAAACAAAGCCACCATTCAGTCACAGCCAAAGATGAGACAGCAAAGTCAGGCTAAATTTAAATGTATTCCCAGCATTACGGTAAACCAACTGTTTGCCAAGACTTTTGTACCTTAACACCTTGCCACAGAATCCAAAACATCAGCCCTTTTATTTTACCAAGATGACACACTTGCACTGTACACAACCCAACCCAACTCCTACCTGCTCCTTCCAGAGCTTGCCTACCCACCATGTCTGCTTGCTTCAGCACCCCCCAGCAACGTTTTGTCTTCATGGGAGAGCTGCATCAGTCCTTTGAGCTGTGTGGGCAGAGAGGGGGGTGTCCTGGGAGCGGGAATGGCCAGGGAAGGAAAGAGGAGCCAGAGGAGGTGGAACGGGTGATGGCCGCAGAGGTGGGGGGTGGTTGGAGGTGTCTGAAGGGTTTGCCAGGCAACCACCACCCTCTTCTGGGCAGGGGTGATCAATGTAGCATGGGCTTTCCCTACAACAGGCAGTGGGAGCAGCAGAGGGTACCCAGCGATCCTAAACCAGTGGCTCCCAAAGGTCTGGGGCATTTGCTCACCAGCGCATGTGAGCTCACAAGCGTGGTGAAACTCCAGCTGGAGAAATGGGGCTTATAGTCAGTCACCCATCCACTGGGACAGACACTTGGGAGCTGTTGTCCTCCACCTGGTAGGGCAGGAGCTCTGGTGAGACAGTGCTTGTGCCAGCTGAAGAGCACACTGGTGTGGCTAGAGATGCATTAATGACATTAACACAAGTGGAAAGATCCAGGCTTGCAAACACTTGCAAAGTTACTTCTAGCTGCTCTTTAAACCCTTGAACTACAGCTTAAAAAAACCAAAAAAAACAAAAAGAACCCAACAAAAAACCCACAGACCAAGAGCACCCAACCATACAAGTTCAAAATGCCATTTCAGTAGTTTCTGTGTTCGTTGGGAGGCAGACCTTAAGTAGGGTTTACCACAGGGAAATTCAATACAAGTGTATAATACAGTAGGCAAGTATAAGTACCAGAAAGAGCCTCTCTGCCCCAGTTTCTCTAAAGTCTGATCCTCTCAGGCCAGCTCTGACCAAGCCTCTTAATAATAGCACATATTACACATCCCTCTTCCCCCCCTTTTTTTTTCCCCTGCCATGGTTCTTATAAAGAATAAAAAATAAAATGGCATTAGCTGCTCTAACAGCATGCAAAATGTCTTTCAGGAGCTCCTACTGATCTCTGCTTGATTTCAGTAGAGTCTTTTCAGACGCTACTTCCCCAGGCTTCATCTCCATATTCTTCTTGTCTCCCCAAAGCCTGTCCTTCAGGCATTTGTACTCTGAAGGAGAAAGAAGCAATCTCCTTGGCAGGCAGAGCTCTGTGAGTTCACAACATCTTGTTTTTGTATGCAGGCTGCATCTCCTTGCACTTTCGTATCCTTGTTCCCCATGAAATAGTATGACTCTTGCATATCTGCAACTGTATTTATAAGTACCCAGATTAGTCCTGTACTAGTAAGTCTGGTTCTCAACCACCTCTTAAAATAAAGGGAGACTGTGTTTTAAAGGCAGTCCTCAAGCTCAGCAGCAGAAGAATCTCTTTTAGATCTGTTAGCTTTTAAAAGAAATTAATCCATTTTTCAGTAGAATTTTCAATACAGGATATCTGGGACTAGCTGTTATGTGGTGGAATCTCCCCCGTCAGCCCTTGAAAATGGTTGGAAATCCTGTTCTTTGAACCATGGCTCATTACTCAGCCTCCTTCTGTGGTTCTCTGCTTGGCAAATGCAGATATGATGGGCATTATAAGATGCTCTAATGCTAGATTCCATATAGCACAGCCACAGGGAAATGCAAATGATGATCCAACACTGCAATGTAGTCTCTGCCAGAAAAGCAAAGTATAACTATATCTACACTTAACTTCAAACCATGGCTGTAATGTCCCCTGATCTATCAGCATGAGTTCTGTTCTTTTCCAGGTTGATATTTTGAAGAAATAGCTCATTTTTACAATTTTCTTTATCTCTCAGTTTTTATGAAGCTGCTACATGTACATAGCTTATGCTATCCATTTACATTTTTCTATACCCATATGACCCTGCTGACTTCTCCAAAAAATATCAGATTTCAATGCACTTTGTGCTGCTGTTCTGTTACCTCCAAAGACCAGGCCATTCTTTACAGCAAGCTCCAGTTTGAATTGGTAATGTGAGCTTGCTGTGTAATTCCCTGACTCCTTTACAGTGACAGCCCTAATGCCTTTTTATAATCTCTCATCTTTTACTGTGCCTCTGCAAATTTATTCCACATTTCTGAGAACAAGCAGTTCCCTTTTCTTATATTTATGTGCATTGTATTTCTGGGTTCCTTTATCTTATATAAGTCATGTTTTCAAACCTAATATTGGCTCTTTGTTTCCAGCAGCTATAATAAACTAAATATATAACAAAGAGTGTAAGACCAGGGCAAGTATATATATCTGTGCCTAACTTGCTTGGACCTGCTCTCCCTGCTTTTCTGAAAAAGGCAATGTCATCTTCTTTACAGCCCTTTTAGTCTCTTCATCCCCGGCACCAGCAGGAAATTCAAAATTCAAAATTTCCCTTCAAAAGTCCCTCCTCAGCCCCTTTGTATGCATATACATTGGATAAAAACCATAATTTTACCTCTTCTAAAGGCTGAGATTCTTGTGTAAAATCACAGGATTTTAGACACAGAGGACTGAAGGAAAACCTAAGGTCTCACAAGAAAAAAGAATCCCAAAAGACAGAAGCACTGCTTCCCCAGCCCACACCACCAGCTGCTTGTAATGCCATCCTTTCCTTCAGTCAGATCCCCCTGCAGCATGTTACTTTATATAGGGAAAAACTGGTCCCCTCAGAGACTTACCATAACTCCATGGTCTGAAGAAGATGGATATGGGAACATGCAGGACTGGAGAGACGCAGAGTCTGGATCTAGCTGCTAGCCAGATGATCGCTTTTTTTTTTTTGAGACAAACAATAGCTATGAATATAGGTTTATAATTGCACATTCAGATACTCATTGCTTAATTATTACAATGCAGGCACCTGTGGCACATCTCTATAAAGCAGCAGCATGAATACTATGGAGGTCACCAGTGTCTGAGAGAAGTTCAGTCCTTCACTTGTTCTGATAGAGAATGCACTTTTCTTAAGACTGAAGTCCCAGCTTTAGATATCTTACTCTCATGTAGACCACTTACAACACCTAAGGCACCACACCACAGTGTTACAGGAAGGTCTATTTAAGAGGCCTGTAAAAAACCTTGACTTTTGGACCCTTTGTGGTTACTGCCTCTTAGGTCACCATCTAACCAGCCAGGGTCCAAACTAACACTGAGCCATACCCACCCCTTGGGGTAGGGAGGCACTATCTCAAGCATTGGTGTTCCTAAACCTCTATCTCAAAAAACAAGTGATTTTTTATGGCATTGCAGATCTGATATATAATTTACTTATGCAACAGTTGGCATTAATGTAATTATTTGAAATGTAGATATTATTACAGCTGGGTGCAAGATTAAACTTAATGTCCTGGTTGTTATGAGGACTATCATAAAAGCAATTCCCATCCAGAATTCTGTGAATGATATTGAAGATTGCACATGATATTCTAGATCTGAACTCTTACCAAGTTGAATGGTTGAACTAGCAGTTAGGCTCTTACTCTTAAAATACTTAATTGTCTCATATATAGCTTGGTGAGACATTAGTTATTTCACTGACTTGGAACTAATCCATACGCCTAAGGAGTTCACAGGTATATATTTGGTAAAATATATATAAATTCCTTCTATAAATTCCCAAGGACAAAGCGGAATGAATAATTTTATTTTCTCATTAACATGTTAGATATGCCTTATATACAGCATCAAATCTGGGCTGAACAGAGAACTAGAAGTAGAAATGCCCAAACCACATCACTAAATGTGCAAAGTCCACTGTAAGGTTGTAAAAATGTAGTTGAAATTTGTATGGTAACTCGATGTCTGTGATACAGCCATTCATTGGGAATGTCAGTCTCCAAATGGATATATTCAGTAAGTCCCATCTATGTAGTTAAAACCACTGCCACTGTTTCATGTTCCAGATATTGCAAGTATACAGCCAGATTTTCCTTTTCCACACCAGCATCAAGAATGAAATCTGCCTTTTTTCCTTCAGTTTGGTATCTGTGATGTAATTTGACACACAAGTCCTGCTTGCACTTTGCTCCCAGAATATGTCCCCACTGCTGCATTTCTAGGCTGAACTTTGCTATAAATCCCTCTGATAGTTACCAATCCTGACCCAGAGTTTCTTCCAAGTTATGGGGCATGTCTCTAGTTTTTCACAGCAGTTTCTAACGTTAAACCACAAAAGAGTGACACATGGACCGAAGCAAAAAATACCATTGCAGGAGTGCAATGTTCTGATTCTTATTTGTATATACCAGAGCATTCTCATTTTCTTTTCATGGTTATTCAATGGCCTATCTTCAGTGGTTTACTGCCTGCTGGGTAATGGCTCCTTTCTAATCAATTTTAGATTATTTTTCTCCATATTTACTCCTATCTTTTTTTACAGCCCTTTTAAACCAAAATCAATTTCACTTTTGCCTCAGATAGCCCTCCTGGCTGTGCAAAGATAGATTCTTGAACTTCGTTCCTGGAATCCAAATTAGAGTCCACGCTGTATTAATCCTGGTCTTAAACAGAGAAGCACACACACATTCAGCTCTTCTGAGATCCCAGCCAAGGCACATTGTAACCATCCCCAATTTAGTTCACGACTGCTATGTCTGCGCAGGGATCCCAAACAACTCTGGAGCTCAGCTTTATGTTTCAAACATTCTAAGTCTGCATTCACGCCCAACACGATAAGCCCATCCGCAGGTGCTCTGCCAGCGCTAACAGCAGCTCTGGACCCAGTTAACATTTGCAGTGCCATGCAAAGCGCCGCCGTATAGCAGTATCTTACAACGCTCAGAACACATTTATACCTACCCTGCCTTTGCGTCGCACTGAACAAGAGCTACATACAGCTTTCTGGTGGCTGGCACTTACTCCACAGAAAGTAAGCAGTGAAAGAACAATGCCCTTTAGTGCTGCACATCCTTGATTAAGCTCCTGATTTGCAGTCATCTCCCCTGAGCTTGCTGACTATCCTCTGCGCTCTGCTACAGCAGCGTGGCAGACTGGGTCTCTCTGGGTTCACAGGCGACTTTGCCCTGTGACTGCGGGTGGCAGGACCCACCCTGTGGCCCCTCCATCCCCAAAGTGATATGGTTCACCTGGAGCACAGCAAAAAGGAGTGGGTCTCTGAAGGGAGGAGAGGACATCTGGCCTCTGGGGGAACAGAGCGAGAGGAGGAGGGGTGAATGCACACCTGTACTGCTGGACAGAAGGGGAACTTAACAGTGACAGGCAAGAGCAACCCCGAGCCTGCCATACTGTGTTGCCTGATGCCCTATGGTGACACCACAGAGCCACGTGCTTTCCCAGGAGATGTCTTCTACAAAAGGTCCAACATCTCTCACCACAACACCCGACATGAAGACAAGCCACACAAGAGGCGAGCAAAACAAAACACAGGCCAGGGAGAAGGAGTCAGCACGGAGGCGTGTGCGTGCCCACAGTGCTCCACATGCCTTCTGGAGGAGGCGCATGCATGCGGTCTGTGTCTATTGCTGAAGCCCAGGGAAGGGTGGGCTGTTGTAGAGCGATTCCTACCTGTGTTAGGGCATCAACCGCCCTCGTGCTCCCTCACCTCTCTCCGCAGTGCCTGTGTCCATCCAGCTGCGATGCTTCGCAGTATGAGGACACTCGGGCCAGGTGGAAAGC